ACTCATTACTTCAGATACTCAGTATTTGGGTAAGCTATACGATAAATGCACGATAAATATTCATATCCCCCAGACTAATATTCATATTGCCCAAATTAATATTGATCACACTCCCTTCCAAACCACTCGAAACATCTTATATTCATCAAAATTTCATGGGCCGGTGAATATACAGAAGCTAGTGTGTTGAGGTCGATTTGACCTTGCTCTCCCATGTTTATCCACATGTTATCGGCTGGTTGATCTCTTCTCGGTGAGTGCTCGAAAGAATCGAATCCAAACTCATTTTTTTTTTTACTTCGTCTTTCTTCTTTCTTTAACTGCATATCCATATCTCTTCTAAAACAAATCCATGAACAAACACGAACAAGACATGCATATAAAAAAAATTGAAAACCTAAATCTAGATTTTTAGCATCTCTCATCTTATAAATTTCTTCCTTTGGGAGAAATTTTTTTCCATTAAAAGAACAGAAGATAGTGGAGAAAGAAAGAGAAAAATTGAGAGTGAGGAGATTATTCTGTTTTGATTTTTGTTGGGAAATGAAGAAAGTAAGAGATAGTGGAGTGAGGGATTTTTCCAATAATAGCACCTTTTAAAAAAATTTATAAAAATAGCACCCAACCGAAAATATTTACAAAAATAGCACCTTTTTATGGACCGCACCTCCAAGGTGCGTTTTATTATCCTGGGCCAAAACCGCATCTTGGCCATGCTGTTTCAGGTCTGACCTACAGAAACCGCATGGCCGAGGTACGGTTTTGGCCTGACCTAGCAAAACCGCACCTCCAAGGTTCGGTTGGTTAACTCGTAAGTTTATTTTGTATTACTTTTTATTGTTATTTTTTATTTTTTATTTTTATGATATTAACTGAATTATGGTTTTTTTGCAGATGGTATTCCAAAAGTTCACGCTTGGCTTACGGTGGAATGGTTACAAGGAAGAGACCGAAAAGGGGGTCACCTACATCGGTGGCAATTTTCAGAAAATAAAGGTCGCTACCAGACCGCTGCTTGAAGACCTCCATCAAATGTGCACTAATGTTACTTGCATGGATGACACGAGAAGAGTTGATTGTATGGTGTACCGATCTCCAAACAGAGAAAGTAGGTCATTGTGGCATGAGGAATATCTCATAACCACTCAGGATGCGGTAGATGCCATGCTCGAAATCTTGAGGTCCAACAATCTTTCCAGAGCCGAGATGTTCGTTTACACCGAGCCAGTCGTAGGCGTTGGAGGTCATTCTGGACACGGTCAAACATCTGGTATCCATGGTGGAGGTGAATTATATGGCGATCATCCCTACCAAAGTTACCATGATCCTCATTCCTATTTTTAGTACCAAGAGCAAGGTGAAGGTCATCATCAATCTTTCCCGTCATATGAAGAAGAAGTTCAACCGGACCTCCCCAACCAACCTCAGTACAACTTCCAATCAGGCAGCGGTAGTTTTCACAACTACCATTATGGAGCTGAAGAAGGTGCCTTTCATGAGCTGGATCAGATAGAAGATGCCCTGCCAGCACCAGTCAGTGACCCCTCCGATGAAGAAGGAGAGAACAACGTCAGTGCAGACAACTCCGACCCTCTTGAAGGTGCTAATGATTCAGGACCAGAGTAAGACTCAGCTAATGATGATGAGGTGGCTCGTGATCGTGTACCAGTCCCCTACTACAATCACATTCCAGATGACAATTTGATGGTCGACAGCGACATGGAGCCGCCAGAGGTCCCAGTATGGGGTCCACTCACTGGGTTTATGAAGGGCCAACAATTTGGCTCGAAGAAGGAGGTGCGGCACGTCATTATGGCTGAAGCAATGACTCGGCATTTTGAATGGCACACAACTCATTCCAACACTAAAAGGCTCATAGTCAGATGCCGTAATCATCACGAGGGGTGCAATATTAGGATTCGGGCCATCAACATCAAGAGACACGGCCACTGGGTCATATCCCGTGCGGTGAACACACACACATGTGTGTCATCCATAACTTCCCAAGGCAATCGACAGTTGAAATCCAGGGTGGTTGTTGCGGCTATCAAGCATCTAATTGAGCAAGATCCGGACCTGAAGGTGAAAGTCATAACCGCTGACATTGCAATTCGTTATGGTTATATGATTAACTATAAGAAGGCGTGGCATGGAAAGCAGAAAGCTCTGGCCACCGTCTTTGGTGATTGGGAAGAATCATATGCATTCCTTCCCAGGTTAATTTTGGCATTGGAGGCGTCAAACCCTGGCACGGTTTTCTCCCCTCGATACCAAGATGAAGAGATACAACCCCAAGAGCCAGGTAACAAATGCCATTTCAGACGACTTTTTTGGGCATTCAAGCCATCTATTGATGGTTTTGGCTTCTGTGTCCCTGTGATCCAAGTGGATGGTACATTCCTTACCGGCAAGTACAAGGGCACTCTCCTGATTGCCAGTGGGGCGGATGCAAACAGACAAGTCTTTCCTTTAGCCTTCGCCATTGTTGAGGGAGAGAATGCTGATAGCTATGGATGGTTTTTCCGGTAAATTCAGCTCCACGTCACTAGGAGGACGAACCTGACAATAATCTCTGATCGGCACGCCGACATTAGAGCTGCCATCTTAGGTTTAGATCTAGCCTGGAAGTGGTCCCAAAGGTGGTGCATACGACACTTCAAGAGCAACTGGAACCATCATTTCAAGCGGAAGAAGCTTGCTGATAATTTGTGGTGGATTGGTAAGTTCTCTATTAGCTGTTTAATTTTGCCAGCTAACAATATCTTGTAATCAGGAGAGTGGTGCACTTGTTAGACTCTTTCTAAAGAGATGCATGCCTAAGGAAATGGGGTTTTAAACGATTATCATGGTCCTCCCATTTTCTGGGAAAATCGGGTTTTAAGCGATCTTCGGATCCCCCCTTTTTCTGTCAAACAGGCTATGTTTCTAAGGAGATGTATACATTTCCTAAGAGTCTAACAAGAGTACCTCCGGGTTGTTCAAATTGTACTAAACTGCCGAAAATTTACTAACGAGATACTTTTCTGTGTCTTCCTCAGCGGTTACCTACCAAGAGAAAAAATTTATGGAGAAGATGCAGAAGATGCGCGAGTTATGCCCTGAAGGGGCACAGTGGCTGGATGGACACGACCTATCCATGTGAAAATTTCATAAAGATGGAGGGACAAGATGGGGTATTGCCACAACGAACTCGGGTGAGAGTATCAACTTTGTGTACAAGGCCGTTTGTGCACTGCCAATCTCTGCCATTGTGGAGATGACTTTTTGGAAAACGAATGCATGGTTTGTCAACCGACTCCACTGGGAAAGGACGAACGAGGCACAGGGAAAGGTCCATGCTTATAAAGTCATGGAAGTAATGGAGAATGACAATGGCAAGAGCAGTCGACATAGTGTAACTGTTATGAATCGGGCAAATGGCGAGTATATCGTGACGACCGGACATCGGGAGGATGGTAGACGGGGGAGCCACCGCCATGAAGTTTTGGTCAATTTCAGGACAAAAGTTGGTGAGTGCTCATGCCAGAAGTATCAGGGGAGAGGGTGGCCTTGTTCTCATACAATGGCCGTAATTAAAAACAGGAGCAAAGACCCCGTCACTTCGTTAGTCCATTCTTCAATATCGACTCACTCAAAAACACCTATGGACGGAGTTTCCGTGCATTGCCTGATGAAGCTTATTGGCCGCTGTACGAAGGAAAATTTATCATCCCGCCGTTCGGACAGAGGCGTGAACCGGGTCGCCCGAGGAAAAAGAGAATTCAGAACGAAATGGATCAAAGTAGAAGACCACCACGAGGCCCAAGACGATGTTCAGTATGCAAAGTTCCAGGACATGATAAATGAAGGTGTCCAGGACCGATTGGTCCGCAAAATCCGGGTGCTGATGTGGCAGACTCAGATAATGCGACATAGTTTGTGATTATCATTCTTCAAGCTAGTTGAGACTCGTACTTTGCAACTAATTGTGTATTGTTGATTGAACGAATTGGGATAATATCAAGATAAGAGGAATAGTTCCAAGGACATAGAAATAAAAACAAATTGAAACAACACTCAATTAAATAAACTAAGATAATAGGAATAGTTCCAAGTACATAGAAATAAAAACCAAATTGAAACAACACTCAATTAAATAAACTAAGATAAGGGGAATAGTTCCAAGTAGTATATAATTAAAATTCAACTCAAAATACATCTCAAGGAAGTCCACGAGCTTCACCGGAATCCACTGTTTTCTTACTCCTTGTACGACTGCCGACGGGAGTAACAACAGGTGGAACTGGTGGCAAGTTTCGAATGGCTGAGGTAGTGTGGCGCCCGGCGGGGAGGCGGCGCTTTCGGGGTTGAGCGGGGGACATCCGCACTCATACGGTGAGGAGTAGGAGGCCACTGCCGATGAGGGCGAGTCAATGGGTTGAATTCGTGGTGAGCCGTCGTGGAGGAACCATCATACCAAGTACCCGATGATGTTTGTCGGGGAGATGGGGGTAGACCGGGCGGGAATCATAGTATGTTTGGCGGGGATCGTTGTATGAGATCGGGGTGGGATCATATGGGGATTGATGGAAACTCGGAGGGGATTGATGGTAGGTTGAGCGGGGATCATAGTATGAGCTTGGGCGGGGATCGTTGTGGTAGGAGGGGCAGAACTCTTGGGATGAACTCGGGCGGGGATCTTGGGCGGAACTCGGGCGGGGAGCTTAGGTAGAACTCGGGCCGGCACCTTGGGGGGAACTCGGGCGGGGAGCTTGGGTGGAACTCGGGCCGGCACCATGTGTCACAACCAATGGGGGCGGCACTTTCCACGCCTGATATGGCGTTACGTCGGGCACGTTGGGCCTTTCCCGAACCCTCTTGCTCTTCTTTCTCTCGTATGGTGGTGGGGGATCGGGAACATCAACTTGTACCAGAGGTGGCGTGGGTGCGGGCATGGGCGGATATCTACGATGATCCCGACCCTGAGCTCTGATACAGCCAAGCAGACTGTTTGCCATCCTCCTGATGAAGCTAACATCTTCATTGCCCAGCTCAACTCTCTCGGTGGTCATATCTTTGATCCGCTCGATCCCATCAGCCTAAATCACAAAAAAAAAAAAGTTAGAAAAAAATTTAGGAATCAAGTAATAAATTTAACAGTTTAGACGGAATATACTTACTAATGCACCATCGGCCGCACCCTCCGGAGTCATGTAACGAACCGATGTTTGCCGATATCGATCCAAGTATGGGTCATGATACCCCATTTGACCCACTTGAGCTGGAGTGACAATATCCTGCATTTGTCGGTGGTCCCACATCGTGATGAATTTCGCCAACTTCGTGGGCCAATCGCGAGTACCTTGCCGACCATCTCGGCCATGAAAGGCCCTTTGACTATCGGGGACCTCCAACGGAATGCACTGCTCCCGAACAAACTGACGGAGGCCTAGCTATACTCCCCCATCTCCTCCCAACTACCGAGGATGATCCTAAGCCATCCACAGCTAAGGAGATTGCTTGATTTTTTGGAGAAGAACAGTCCTCCGATCATGCCTATGAGATAGACACGAGCATATCTTTCCTTCTCATCCTCCGGACTATCCTCGGTTAGGGGATGACTCTCGTAATGGTCTCTAAAATACTTCGTCAACCAAGTAATTGAGACTTGGTGTTTCCTCATTGGTGGCAAGCGATCGGTTGCATCAACGCTCCCCTCGACTGGTACTTTCACTCCCAAAACACTGTGGATGAAATGAACCCAACCGGGCATACCGTCACGATCCTCGGGGGGATGATCACTTGCGCACACCGGTTTGTCGTCGATGGGCAGATGGGTTAGGATGGCGACATCCTTTAGTGTGATGGTGGCCTCTCCTTCTCTAAAGTTGAAACAATGGGTCTCCTTTCTCCATCTCTCAACTAATGAGGTGATGAGTTAAATCGACTTTGATGCCGTTAAAATGCCTAATCGGATCCAACCGTGCCCTTTTGAGAAAGGGCAAGATAGCTGGGTGGAATGGGAGCACATTGGTCGTACCCCTGTAGCGGAGTATTGTTTGTGCCTCCTAGCGAAAATTTACACGTTAATTATTATATATTAGTAAGGGTTTTTTTCTTATAACTAAATTATTTAACTTCAAGCAGAATTTTATTATCATAAAAATACATTTCATATAATTAACATAATAACATTCTAAATCAATAATAATTTAAAGAGATACATATATATTATCATAAAACAAACATCCTAAATTAATTAACATAATAACATTCTAAATGAATAATAATTTAAAGAGATACATACATATTATCGTAAAACAAACATACTAAATTAATTAACATAAATAACATTGTAAATGAACAATAATTTAAAGAGAAACATACATATTCAAATGTTTCAAAATTAATAAAATTCATTATGTACACATAAAAATAAATCGTATTGGTTGTCTGGTCAATAATTTAATCGTATTGGTTTTTTTAAATAATTTAATTGAATACAGAGCAACACTCGTTAGACACTTAGAAGAGGTCTACATCTTCTTAGAAACGTAGTCTTTTTGACAGAAAACGGGGGGATCCGAGGATCTCTTAATACCCGATTTTCCAAGGGAATGGGAGGATATGATAATCTCTTAAAACCCCATTTCCTTAGACGTGCAATTCTTTATAAAGAGTCGAAGTAAGTGGCGCTATGTATTCGATTAAATTATTGAAAACAACCGGAGACATTGCTTTTGCTAATTCGAATTGAAAGGTGATATAAAATCGGTCTATTTCCGATATCAACACGATTAAAATTTCAACATAAATTTATTTTATATTCCACTAAATACATTAACAAAATAAAAGAAAGACAAATGGTGAAGAATTGTATGTACCGGGTGATCGTTCCAAACATCCCTTGACCGATGATTGGGTTGGTCGTACAAGTCGGTTGGATCCAACGGTCCTTGCTCGAGATAATACCATTGGTTGTATATATCCACGTCATCCCCAACGTACGAGAAAATAACAACGAGGTTAGTACATAGATTAATTAAAATGCTTATAACAACAACAAAAATTAAACCAGAATAATGAGTACGTACCGCTAGAAATTCATCAACATAAACTCCCTCTCCTTGCCACCAATCGGCCATTTTTTCCGGAAATTCGGACAGAGATTCGGCTCGGATCAGTGGGTTTTGACGAAAAAACCTAAGAAATGTTTTCTGATGGCAGATCGGACTTAGCCGCAACTAATAGACCACTATTTCTTAGACTTTTGGGAGGGGAGGGGAGGGGTTAGAGAGCTAATTCTAGAGAGAGAGAGAGAGTGGAGAATGGTTGTGGTGTGGAAAAAATGAGAGGGGGGGGAGGGGTATTTATACCCATCAGACCGCACCCATACCCATCAGATTGCACCCCCCAGGGGCGGTCGAATAATTTTGCCCCAGTCAAAACCGCACCTTGCCGAGGCGGTTTGCGAGTCACGAGGCGCTGACCGCGCCTTGCAGCTGCGGTCCCCGATCCATGGCGCGGAGCGCTCTGCTGGCGTGTGGTCCGCGGTCCGATCGCTCCTCCATCCAACGGTCTTGAAGACTGTTCCGCAGAGAAAGCACACCGCACCTTCCTAGTGCGGTTCGCGTGCTGACGTGGCATGGAACGCACCCTTAAGGTGCGGTTTATAGGTAAAACTCACCTTAGGGGTGCGGTCTATTAAAAATGATGCTATTATTGTAATTTTTTTCGGCTGGATGCTAGTTTTGTAATTTTTTTTAAACGTGCTATTATTGGAAAAATACTCACTTCACTATCTCTTACTCTCTTCCTTTCCCAACAAAAATCAAAACAGAATAATCTCCTCACTCTCAATTTTTCTCTTTCTTTCTCCACTATCTTCTGTTCTTTCAATGGAAAAAAATTTCTCCCAAAGGAAGAAATTTATAAGATGAGAGATGCTAAAAATCTAGATTTAGGTTTTCAATTTTTTTTATATGCATGTCTTGTTCGTGTTTGTTCATGGATTTGTTTTAGAAGAGATATGGATATGCAGTTAAAGAAAGAAGAAAGACGAAGTAAAAAAAATGAGTTTGGATTCAATTCTTTCGAGCACTCACCGAGAAGAGATCAACCAGCCGATAACATGTGGATAAACATGGGAGAGCAAGGTCAAATCGACCTCAACACACTAGCTTCTGTATATTCATCGGCCCATGAAATTTTGATGAATATAAGATGTTTCGAGTGGTTTGGAAGGGAGTGTGATCAATATTAGTTTGGGCAATATGAATATTAGTCTGGGGGTTATGAATATTTATCGTGCATTTATCGTATAGCTTACCCAAATACTGAGTATCTGAAGTAATGAGTTCAGTTGGTATCAAATCTGAGTAACATGCGAAAGAATATGAGTTGAATGTATAAAATAAATCATTCTTCTCCAGTACAAATTCAGTTAATATTTAATCCCAAGTAAATTAATATCCAGTAAGAGGTTATCTCACATTCAACGTTGACCTAACAAATATTCAATTCAAATAAATCAATCATCTTCGATATTAATTCAATTAACATTTGATACCATATAAAATCATATTCAATATCATATTAACTGATATTTAGTGTTTACTCAACACTAAATGTGTTATTTATGTACCAAAATATGTTTTCTATTCATTTTCAATAATGTAGACTAATTAGTTTACACTCATATGTGAATTGTTACCCTGCCCCATATTTTTTTTTATGAATACCCTACATTCCTAATTGACTAGTTTAACAAATATTTGATGAGATCTTAAGCGATCTGTACATATTGCTGAGGTCTTCACGACCAACAAACATTCCAAAAAAATGAACAAATAGTCATTAGGTGTCGAACCAGTATTCATAATCAGATGAACCATTATTGAAAACCATATCAACACTGAATACGTGTTGAGTAAACACTGAATATCAGTTAACTTGGTATTGAATATGAGTTTACCTCGTATCAAATATTAGTTCAACTAGTACCGCAAAATTATTGATTTATGTGACTTAATATTTGTTCACTTGGTACTGAATATGACTAGACTTGGTACCGAATATGAGTCAACAAATATTAAGCAAGCAACAAGCTTGGTTGTGGGTTTGTCACCAGATTTTTTGCAAAAAGCTTATAGCCAGCAGTTTGTGGTTCTCTTTAGCGACGGTTTTGAGTTTACCAGTCTCTCTTTAGTGACAGTTATAAGTTGGTTGCAAATTGATTTAGCCACGAATAAAGCAAGGGTTTTAACCCTTGCTAGTTTTAGCAACGAATTTACCAAGGGTTCTAACCCATGATACATATATCTTGCTGTTGTATTTTACACTATAGTGTAGCTGGGATTTTTACCCTTGTACATGTATCAGGGGTTAAAACCCTTGCTACATCCCTTGGATGAGACTTCCATCGTGGGTTGCTAAAAACCAATTCAAAAAGACGCTAGGCGTAAGGCAGGCGTTGAGCTGTTGCCTTGCGCCTAGCTCGTCTAGTCGTAGATTAAGCGTGCCTAGGCGTTGTGAAAAAACTAGTTATTCGCACTGCATGATGGATGAAATAATAATCTACAACACTTCGTCACTTCAGTCAAAATTATTAATAACTTACTCAACATTTAATGACAATAACATAGCTCGCGAATTAATAGAATCATAGCTCAATAGCTCACAGAGTTCTCGAGCTATTGAAGATATTGCAATATAAAATGGATTTCGTAGTTGATGTTAATTTTAGTCTTTAATATTGACTTCCTAGCTCTATTTAGTAATGTTTAGAAGAGACTTATATGTCACCTTACTCCATTGACATGTTCCATTATCTAATTAGGCGTGAAACGTCTAGGCGAGGCGTTTTGCCATTGTCTTGCGCGTAGGCGTGCCTAACCGTAAGGTTAAGGGTGCCTTTTTATAACTATCAACCGTCACACAGGCACACATACTTCATCACAATCTTTAATCACAAGGAAGGAATCGTGATTTTTGCTCTAGCATGCATGCTGTGCTGACATAAACTGAAGGAAATTAAATTTGACAGAGTAATTTACATAAAATAAAAACGATTAACAAGAACACCGCGCGCATTAATGATTAATAATTTTGAAGCATATTATTTAAAACAACAAATTACTCAAGCACGACGCCCTTATTAATACTAACGGCCTTTTTTAGTCACTTTCCATGTTTAGCCTTGTAGTCCTTCCAGAGCTCATCCACGCTCTTGCCAAGCAACTCCTTGAAAAACGTGACGTTATAACCATCTCTCATCTTCTTATTAAGCTCAGCTACGAAACCGTTGTTCTTCAGTCCGTCGCAATAATCCAAAAACATAGCCGTAATGTCGTACCCTTGGTCCCACTTATCGCCCTCCCCCGGTTTGACCCAACGACCCGGAGGTGGGGCCAAACCAGCTCTCAACCTAACGAAATCCGCAATCCCTTCAATC